AAATATTAGCTCAAGTCATACTTTAAGGTTTGAATCCATCTTGAAATTTGTGCATGAATATCAAACATCTAATAATATTTGATTAGCTAAAAATTGCATCTTATAACATCCAATGCCTCAATTAAGGACTAAATGATTTTTGCAAATGCAATGACATTAAAGATCTTTTTTTCAACTTGCAACCACAATATGACATTATACTATAATAAGAAGTAAGATTAATACTAGAAAAATATAGAGAATAGATTAACCAAATAATTTTTTTCAAAAGAATAGTCTTTTGAAACAAAAGAAGCTATTTTGCCTATGAAGATAGTTATACATGAGGAATTACAATTATCACCTCCAAAAACATCATTAATTTTATATTTGAGCATAAGATATATTTAAAAATACAAGCCCAATTTTTCACATATATCAACTCTACATCAAAAAAAATTGAACTATTGAATATCTATGGCTATAATTACACAAGTCCAATTTGTGGTAGAAAATCACATGATTTTTTTTTTTTAAAGCAAAATGGATCATGATGGATGATTTCAATTTTATTAAGAAGCTACTTAATAAATTTAGAAGAAATCCTACAAGTGGTAAGGATCTAAGAAAAAAAAAATCTTAAACCACCATGCTATTATAGTTGAGATTCTTCAATGCATTCAAAATAGGCAAATTTTGCTACATGAACCAAAAGCAATATACATGAAACAATAAGTACCTACATTCCAATATGATAGCAATTAAAATCAATAGACCCTACATAACCTTTGAAATATAAGAAAAATGAGGTATGATTGGAATCTAGCTAATATACACCTTGATATTTGACCATTCACCTATCTTCCTTAAAATAAAAAAATAATAAATAATAAATAATAAAAAAAATAACTCTTCTAAATGTCTTTATTTGACAAAAAATAGCCTCACACAAAACAAGGATGGCTATTGCTAAGCCAAGTATGGAAAGAAGTAATATACAATTCCTTGATTGATACATAGATGATAAAAAAATAGCATCTATATTTTAAGTTGTATGTGATTGTAATGCATAAGAAATATGAAAGTTAAAAAAAGTATAGAGAGCAACATATTAGTAATAGATTGCAAAAATCCAAGCAACAGAGCATGATCTTGAACACAATTAGAACAACCAAATAGTCTATGAAGTCCTTTGCACTACATAATCTAAGATGCAAGAAATTAGAAAATTATATTAAATCAAATAATTTGATTTGGTTACAACTAAATAAACTAGAATAGAAGATAAATGCAATGTCAATTTTTTTTGATGAATTCAATGAAATGTATAAAAGTACAAGAATCTAAGAATTTAATAATAACAAAAAAATCTTAATATAACAAGCAGATATGGCTAAATATCCATAATAATATTATCAAGTATTATATAGTAAGAATATAATAATAAAAAATAATATAATAGCTTAAATAAAATGCCTTTTAAGCATCTCTAAATAAGTTATACAACATCAAAAAAAGAGCTTAAATAGCAAATTATGATTTAAGAACTAACAAAAATAATTAAAGAATTTCTATCACAAAAAGCTCTTAGGCTTGATTTTATATCAATTAAATTCTTTCAACTCTATTTATTAGCAATACAAAAAAATATACTACATCTAACTTATGAGGTGATGACCAATAGTATATTATCAAAAGAGCTCAATATGAGCAAAATCTCCTTAGTTTCAAAAATCAAAGACCAAGCACTTATCAACAATTACGTCTCAATTCTCTTCTTAAGAATGGTATATAAAATTATAGCCAAAATCTTAGAAAATCAGCTATTCCAAAACCTCTCTTTCAAGATAAAAAAATCTCAAATTGGCTTTATAATTGATTGTTGCATATTTGACAATATTTATCTTATACTTAAAGAAAAAGAATAAGCAAAAGTGAGAAAACAAGAGCTTATTTTAATGCTACTAGACTTTAAAAATGCCTACAATTATATTAATTAGGAATTTTTAGAAACAATCTTTGCTTGAATAGGCTTATCTAGCTCTTGGATCACCATAATAATGATACATTATTGAGACATAGTAGCCACAATCACAATCAATAAATAGAATGGCTCCATATTCAACTTAAAAAGATTATTATGCTAAAACTACTCCCTAGTACTATATCTCTTTTTATTAGCCATAGATGTATTTAGCTATATATTTAACGACCTAAAATGGAAGGTACAAGGACTCAAATTACTAGATGCATCTATGATCAAAAATCAAAATTTTACTTATGCTATAATATTCTTCCTAGAGAGTACCTCCAAAAACCTCACAAGAATAATGCAAGCACTTATCTAATTTTGTGAAGTATTTAGAGTCAAGATCAATTAGCACAAGACTTGTGCAATCTAAGCATCTTTGTATAAATGATGGTGGCAATGGAGAAACAAACTAAATTTGATTTAAAAAATAATAAGATAACCAATTTAATGTCTAATTTTTTTAATTAAATATAGACTATCAATAGAAGAATATAAAAATAAGATGCTACAATAAATCACAAAACAATTAGTCAAGTGAGGCAGAAAAAAATAATTACTTCCTTTGGAATTATGAAAAATAAGATTGATATATAGCCACATATCTTTGATACGAAACAAAAAGTTGTTGAGTTAATGTATAATACTATCAGCTCTAGTACAACATTCTTTAGTATCCATATAATAAATTCATCTACTTACTAAGAGATTGATAGATATCAAATATGACAAATACTATTATAGAAGTGTATTACATCAACAACCTTGATAATAGCATCTTCAAAGATATTAAATATATAATACTTGTCTTTGAAAAATTAAAATCAATACATGATGATCACTTACAGATTGGTATGAAAGAACTACAATACATACAAATAGCTATTAAAAATGAAAAAAAATGTATTTATTGGTTTCATCCATCATAGCCCAGTTTATTGGCTGTATACACCTTATCTAGAAAAATATCAATTAATACAATCTCTCACTTTTGACCTTGTCAAATGGCAATAAATAAAATAAGGTAATCAAAAAAATAAATATACTATATAACTACATTATACAAAGAAGATGCCAAATCAATATCAACCGCACAATAGCACTATTCAAAAGAAAGAGCATATTTTGTATGCACAACTTTGACAATTTTTTTTGCCTACAATTTTACAAAACTTTTTGGCATTTCTAACTTTTACAAAAAGTATGAGCTGTGCAATGGCTTATCTTAATAGAAGGCATTGCAAGGGACCAATGATAAAGAATTATAGATATAGACCCATCTTATAAATTATTAAACATTAGAAAAATCAAAACTATTCAAAAGGCCATAAATTGATAAAAATAAAATAAATTAGGTAAATATTTAATATGGTTGCCTCTAAGATGAAGTTTCACAATAGGATTATTCCTAAGAAAGGTTGGATTCATACCCAAGGAATGACCATTTGTAGATTGGAATCAAAATCAAACCTCTAGCCACTAAAATGACGACTCAGGGCAAAGTAAGAAAGATTTTGAAGATTGAAGAATTAAATTGGAGAGCTAGCTTCAAGCTTCTTTTAAATTTATAAAGCTTATTTCCATAGATTTTGAGATGACTTTGTAATCATTGTGCAAAGTTAGGGTTTGTATTGATGAATTTGAATTTATGCAATAAAATTAGAGCTAGTATTATTGATTGATTCATGAAATGTATATGACATCTATGATTTAAATTTTGTCAATGCAAAGATCAATGGATATACTAATTGTGTATAAAATTTTGTATTATTCTAATTTTGCAATTGGGAGATGTTTAATTATTAGTGCAAGGAGGTACCAAAAGTTGGTAGTTTAAGATCGAGTAGGCTTTTTGCAATATCTAAAGATCTATTTATTGGAATAAGAAAAAATTTGGCGTGGTTTTAGTAGATTGGTATATCAAGCTACATATTAATTTATAACTAAAATTAATAGTTGGAGACAAAGAAATTATTGCTCAAACTTCATCATCAACCTTCAAGTTGGCAGTTGAGAGATACTAGCACAACTCTTTTATATTCTTTTGATAATTTATAAATTGGATTGGGTTGAAATTTTTTGAGTAAATAAAAAATTCATAATTTCATTGATATGTAAAATTTTGCATGAATTAAAAAATTAGATTAGTAATTAAAACTAGTTGAAGCTTATTGCTTAAAGTTAGAGTTTGGAGAGAAAATTGGAAGTTGCAAAAAAAGGAAAAATAACAAGACAATTAGGATTTGTATTAAGAAGAGTGTTTTTTGAGTACTTTGCATTGGCTTTAAATCTTTTTGCATTGGAATTCAAATTGCTTTCTTCTTAATGGTTGAAACCTATTAGGATTTCTTAAATAATTGAAACATATGACTTTGTCTTCCACAGCCAAGTGTCCAATGCATTTCTAAACAAAAAGACACATAATACGATAGCATGGGGACATCAATCATGAAACACAAGTAGCTTTGTAGTATTTGCAACAAAAAATAGGTGATCAATTAACCGGTTGCAATTGCTACCTCATACTCCCCATTAGGCAAGTGGCAAGCCCTAACTCAAGCTCTTATGATCCCATTAAGAACAAAAGCTTATAATAAGTACAAAAGCATGGAATTGTAAGTAATATTCTTTAATCATGGTGCAGATTTAGGCTCCTAAACCCTAAACTCTCCCTCCAAGCTGGCGCCGTCCGTCCCTTCCCGCCTTACTCGGGACTGCTGAGGTGGCGGAGTGCATTGGAGTCAAGCCCGACAACAACAGCACTTGCCCTCCTGTAGAGGCGGAATCGGACCCTCTCCCTCCCCCATTCGGACACTCCCCTGGCAGCCACATCATCATCCCCACCCTCGCCACCACCCATCCGCCACGTAGACTATACGGGAGGGGGGAGGTGGCATCCATTCACTCAAAAAGGTCGCGTTCACACACAAAGAGAGGGAGAGGGGGAGAGGGGGAGTGACTGAATGGATGAGAGTGAGAGTCCTTTTCCGCTGCATGGGGGGTAGGGTAGTTGCATGAGAAGAAAGGGAGGGAGTAGAGGGAGGAGGAGGAGGGGAGGGGGAATCTGGTGAGTTAGTGTATGCATGTGTGTGTTTAAGTGCGTGTGTCGACGTTGTGGCTGCTACTGCTGCTGCTCTCTCTCGCCCTCACTCACTCTCTTGGGCTCCTCCCTCCCTCCCTCCCTCCTTCAATCACTCTCTCTCCTCGTTGGGCTTTGTTGGGCTTCCACGTCTGTGGCACCGCAGCATTCTTTTGTCCTCCTGGTATGTATGTTCTCTTATTAGTCTGCTTTACTTACTTATTTGTTGTTATTCATGTTTTCGTTTCTTTTTTTCATTTTTTTCTATGGGGTTTCTGGTTTCTGGTTACGGGGATTGGGAATGCGGCAGGAAACGCGGGGTTGGGTTCGGATTCGTGAGTTTTTCGTATTGTATGCGCTGGACTTTGGGATGTCATAGCTTGTTTCGTGACGCTGCACTGGTTACGCGGACGAGAATGACGGTTTTTTCAATGATACCGGTGGTTCGTAGTATCCCCCTGGCGTTGTGTTTTCTTCTGTGAAATGTCGGGAATTGGAATTTGGTGGTCTTGGTGGGGACGTGCTTTGGTGTGGCGTGTGATGTCTCGTCTCGTGAAGTTGAGGTGAATCCTGTGAATTTGTTTTGTTTTGTTTGTTTGTTTGTTTTTTTTTTTGTTTTTTTGTTTTTTTGTTTTTTTTTTTTTTTTGTGAGCTTGGGGAAGTTTCGTCGCGTGAATCCTGGTGTGCATGTACGTCGAATTTCTGCGGGAAGATTGGTTTAGGCGAGTTGGCGGAGGTGGTTGTAGCAGCGCGTTTGGAACCTTGTTAGTAGAAGTTTTTTTTGAATGTAGTAGATTGTTTTTTTTTAGGATGTCCACAGTTTGTTTACTCCTGTCCGCTCGCACGTTGTTCGAAAATTTCTACTTTCAGAGATTATGATCCTAATCAGGAGAGTGTCGAAATCTTGGTTCCAATTCAATACTTCTGTACTTATCCACTGGAACATTTCTGATAATCTCACTCTAGCGATCTGAATGCAACCTTTGAGTACACTTCAGCCGTGTAGTTCGACTCGTCAGCACCAGTGCATTTCATTACGATTTGCGAGGAACAACAGGGTTCGGCAATTTTCTCTTAGGATGGACAACAGGAGTTTTAGGTCCGGGTTCACACGTAATATGTGCTTATTTAATTGATAAGACTTAAGTTGTCAAAGGTCTGAAGTTGAGTGTCCGACGGATTGCGTGAAGTGATGTTTTCAGTTTGTTTGGGTCGTCAAACATAAGTCTTCGTATCCTTTTACTTTACGTTACGTTGCATTTTTGGTGGTTGAATGTCATTGCTTTTCCTAGGGGATTCCGTTAGCGTGAAATTTAGTTTCGGTTTTCTTACAAGCTTTTACTTTCCTAATTTAAACTATTCCTATTTCAAGACTTTCTATATTTTAAGTGTATTTATTTTATTTTATTTCGATCTGTTCTTAGTGTTTCATACCTTTAGACTTTGCTGGCTCAAAATATGAGCTCATATGTCGCCTTTATTTTGATTATTTTGCAGGAAAATTAAATTAAGTGTGTTTTCGGATGCTAATCGAGGATCAGAAGGCCAAGGCAGCTGACAATTTCTGAACTTGGATGGTGGACATCTCAGAGACACCCTTTTAGGATACTCGTTACTGTCTACTAGTTAATGCGATTCTGTTACCCTTTGAGTGATCGGCTGGTGTGAGTCGACAATGAGTACCGATTTTCTCACTAACAATCTGGAACTGCTCGCATCAGTCGGCTTGTTCACAGCCGTGTATTTCTATGGTTACTTCTTTGTATTTCACAAGCTCTGGAAAGGACGCGCCCGTTACGATGCAGCTAGTTGTGGAATTTCTCTGGCGCATGGGACAGTAGTTGCGGCGCTGGCTTGTTATGGCATATGTTCTCAGGAATGGGTGTTGGATGCTCCCAACACCTACTTTCAGGACAAAATAATGGAGTATTCAATGGCATACTTCATTGTGGATTTACTCAATTATTTTATAGCTGCCCCGGATGATTATCTCTTCATAGGTCACCATATTGCCACATTGACGTATATGATATCATGTCGATACTTTGTGAGGCATGGGGCAGTGTCCGTGATGTGTTTGATAGCAGCTGGCGAGCTCACAAGTCCAGTGCAAAATATCTGGACGTTGTCTAGGATGGCGCGGGAGGATTCTCCAACTGCTAAGAAGATTTACACAAATTTATCTCCCTTTTTCACACTGTTCTTCACTATCGTTAGGGGAGGCTTTGGTCCTTACCTGACATGGACTCTTGGCAAGTTCTACTTGGGAGGCCATGCGGACAAGGTCATGCCAAGATGGTTGGCGTATTGTTGGATGTTCAAGGTAGCATTTGCAATCTTTGGAAGCATGGTGTGGGTTTACAAGCTTTGGGTGGGATTGATAAAGTTCTACTCCAAGAAGGGTAGCTCATCCAGGAGAAAGTCCGAAGGTCTTTTTCAGAGAAAAGATGATTGAAAGGTCCTCAACACCGACCCATCTAGGACGTTATTTCTTATTTTCAAATTCACTTTGGATATTCTATCGTGTCGGCTCATTATTGCGGTAGATGATACTGGAATATTTCCTTCGCCAGATGGATCCAAAAAAGCTTTTGCTTCGAGCGGAGTGAAACCTGGTTTGCTTGTATCCCAAGGAAGATTTTAGGGTAACATCTATTAAGACTGGTGTATGTAGTACATGTGTTCTTGCAGCTTGGACACTGGAAATAATTGCATTCTTGTGTTTGTCTGTCATTGAAACGAGGCTACGAGAGTTTCTCATTGTCCACGATTGGTCATCGGAGCTTCGTGTGTCGAAGAAAATGTTCCTTGAACATTGAAGTGGATCACCTTGGTCGTATTTATGGAAGTTGTGTACAGTGCGTCAGTTCCAGGGCAAGATTTCTTGAAGATGCATTGTCTGTTTGTACTTATAGCCAGATTTTGTAATGACGCTTTTTATTTATCCCTTGTAGTTCAGTGTTGCAAGTCTTAACTTGCTCAAATCAGTACCCTGTTCAGTAACTGCGATCTAGTAGGTAGGAAAGGCACCGTGTCATGTCTATTGTTTTGCATTGAATCCAGTTCTTCTTCTACAAGCTTACCTGCTCACACAGGCCTTTGTGGTCTACTGTGATGCGTTCCAACTTGTTAGCAAAGCCAGAGGGTGCAGAAATGTGTCATGTTGTGTTTGTCAATGAACTGTATTGGTTGCTTCGCCGACTTTGGAGAATAAGACACTTTCATGTTGATTTTATTTTGTACTCCCTTCATTTTGTAATTGTGTATATTAAGGAGGTGGCCGCTTTGAAGGGTCCAGCTCTTTATGACTTCAGGAACCAGTTAGGTGTCCTGTACAATTTGCAGAAGAGGCAGTTGACAGTAAGTTGGATAAGTGGCAATAATTTCAGTTGTCCAAACACAGAGCTCCATTTGGGAATGTATTTTCACCAAGAGAAGAAGAAAGCCAGCATGACAAAGCACTAAAAACTGTGGCAAACATTTATTTATTTAATAATGAGAAAGGGTTAGAGAATTTGAAGGTCATATCACCATCTAGCAAATCATTGGCGATGACAGAAACACAAAATTCAAATGCGATTCATCACAAGTAAAGCTGGGTTTTGAAGTCATCTTTCTGGAGATATAGTACATTATGTTTTTATTTTATTTTTTATTTTTTTCTTGTCACACTTCTACAGAGGAATTCGAATAGTAATAAAAAATAAAAAATAAAAAAGTGTGGTTTGTAGGAAAATTAGTGCATTACAATCAGTATTGTTAAATAGTATTAGTTTAGTATATTAATGATGAATATTTGCTTCTGTTTTGTGTTTTGTGTTTTGTTTTTTTTTTTTTTTTTTTGAGGAATAAATGAAATACATTTTTTGAGTGTATATTAGATATTCAATTCCAAGATAAATATTTGGCATAACGTTTCATTCTATTATAGCGTGATAATTACGTAACCTTCATTTTAAAAATCTTTAAAGTATACAGAATAAATAAAAATCCTAAAATAACCATTTCAAATATTAATAAAAAAATATTTATTTTCATAAAATAAATTAATTAATATATTTATTTTATTTTTTAATATGTCCAATATTCAAAGAATTAAAAAATAAAATATTCTTCAGAAATTGTAACAATATTTTTGAAAAAGTAAATTCATATTAATTTAGGTTTCGCTCTTATCCTTTTGTGCATTATTATAATAAATCATAATGATAATTGCTCTTCTAAAATTTAGTCATGTAAAAATGAAATTTTAACTCCCATACTAATGACACACTTTTCATTCAGGTTATCTAATTATAAATTAGTTTCATTTCATGGATACTCAACAACATTTATATATAATTATGAATTGGTCAGTACACTTAGTAGGTGTTTTTAAAGAATTCATTATACATCAAAAAAAATTTAAAATTGATAAATTTTAATTTCTGATTTTTATATTAAAAAAAGGATAAGAAAAATATAAGTTAATATAAGAGGAAAAAATTTTAAAACATGAAAGATGTCTGAATGTCCTTAAAAATGAAGCCTTAAATTTAAGATTTTAATGCATGCAACTTCAAATTACAATACTTTGTTTAATTCAGAATTTACAAAATTGAAGTTTCGCATTGGATTTATTTTTATCTTTATTTTTATTATGATCATTACGGAAATTTAACCATCATAAGTCATGACAATGAAATTTTTGTTTCACTAAACAAAACATTTATTCCAACATGATACACTTTAGTACTGATATTCTTTTACTTGCGTCAAATACACAACATTGATTTTTAGTCTTGATTCATAACTTGGTTTTCTTGCCATTAGATTATATTTACTTTTACTTTAGTGTTGCCCTATAAATAAATAATGTTTGCTTGTGTTAATCTTTCATCTAAAAAATTTAGCACATATATTTAGAATTTGATGTTCTGATCATAATCAATATGTTCACTCACATTTTTTAGTCACTTTTTTAATAATTTTCGAAATAATGCATATCAATCAGTGTATTATTGTTTACAATACTTTGTAATATCTTTAATATGATAAATCAAGATATCTTAGTAAATAAACATATTGCTAAGATATCTTAATTTATCAAAACGTATCTGCTTACAACTAAACAATCAAGGTTTCATTACATTACATTGTTGCCCACATTAAAATAAAAATAAAAATATATACCTTGTTTCCTTTTTGAGATGTAAACCAAAATTTAAAGAGAAAACCAAGATTTTGCACTAAGGATTCACTGAGGTCATATGTTGCAACAATGTTGCTATTGATATACTTATTTGGTTTGTTTGCTTCTGATTTGGTTTTCTCTTTTCTTTTCCTATTTGTCAAGTGTTAATTTTGAATCAAGTTGAGCCAATTTTCGTTTGTTGTTCAGAATAAAAGTAGTAAATAATACTTCTTTTTGTCTCCATACGATTTGAAAAATGGCTACGATGATATGTAATTGTAGTATGATGACCATGAATAAACAACCTTCTCAAGCTGATATCGCTTCTAATAAACCATTTACCGAAAAAGTTAGAGATGACTTTGATCATTGCGGAATGTTAATAGCATATTCCATTTAAGAAATCTTTTAAAACAAATATTCCTCTGAGATTGCTACAGAAATTGAAAATTATTCTTTCAATACCAGTGTAACCTGTGCAAAACCTGTTACTAAGCTTCAGCGCTTGGAAGGTCACAGAAGTATGAAGAAAGCACCAGGATGTGCTCATTTCCTCTTATTACCAGCTCTTCAACAGTATATCTACGGCTACTCATTCTGAATTAAAGAAAAATTACTATGTAAAAAATATAGCAAAAATATTTTTAAGTTCCTTTTGGTCACCTCAACTCCACAAACACCGCAGTTGTCCGGGGGGGCACCCTAAAAATTGCTTTGCTTGGTTCAAAGGAAGATTTTTTTACGACTTCATCCGCGGAATGTTCCTGTTAACTCATGATGTTTAGCGTCCAAACATGGTTTTATACGAGATAAAATCAGTATAACATCTTTTTCAGTTGGTTTACTCGGTGTGTATCTTCGTAGTTTGGAGAATTAACAAAGGAAACACAAAACATCAGCTCATACCTGGATAGGATGAAGTGTCAAATTGCAATGCTTGAATGTATTAACCTCAAAATCGAGCTTCGTTGGCCTAGCATTGATCACGACAGCAATGCATCTGAAACTGCAAAACAAAACCACGCCGGTTACTTAATTGTCTTCTTTGTCGAACTTGACAATGACGATCTACGACCTTTAAAGTAACTACCTGCATGAAGGAAACTTCATGCTGGTGATAGGTAGATTATTGACATATTTGATCACAAAATTTGAGGCTAATACCGTTAAGTATTCTCAACTTCATTACATTACTACAGTATATACTAATTACAAGTAACAATCACATATATTAATATAGACTCAGAAATAGTTTTGGTTCTTACTTTGGATCGAGTTGAGTAAGGCCGGGTTTTCCCTCATCACCGTCATGCAAGCTGAACATGATGACTCCAGGGATGCTTGAAGGTCCCGTATTATGGAAATTCAGCCTTGCCTGGAAGGGACACCATAAAAAAGAAAGAGAATAAAACTCTGTGCACTAGGTACAGATCCTCACGATTTAGCCAGGCCTTAATAAATAAACGGAAACTCCATTATATAGTCATGCAACATCCATTTTAATCGACTTGTGTAAGCCCCAACATCACAGTTAAAATTCTGTGCGAGTACCTGAACAGCATTTGCGGTTCTCAGCCGAAACAGTGGTGATGAGAACCGTATGCGCAGGAACTCTTGGAAGTTCGCCAACGCGGCAAGGATGTGTTTCCTGCTGGGCTTAAATGCTGGATTACCCAGTAAATGCCGCATGCTGCGAGAGAAATAGAAGAATCATTCTTCGATTAGTGAAGAGGAGGTCTCGTTTCGTATTGGCTTCAAGGAGATAAAAAAGTTAACATTTACAAAAATGACAATGCTCACATGCTCATATTCACTATATTATAAACTCGAAGCAAAGTCCTAGATCAAAACAACATACAAAGCATTTAAAAATTAAACGTAAGACTGAGGTGCTTACAGTGGCCACTTTTCACCATTTTTGCCCATAGGAGGAAGACCAACACCCCAATTATTTGATTCATATGAGAAATCTAGCCTGCAGTTTGCACCAGATTAAGCAAATCGTACACAGCTTTAAAATCGAAAGAGGTGTCCTGTCCTAGGATAGAGCAGAAAAATTAAGCAGAGCGTGAGAATGAAAAATTTCATGTTCAGACCATACCTATTAAACCAGTCCCCTGAGTTGTAAGAATCACGATCCAAGGACTTGGAACGTAGTAATTCGTCTCCTGCATGAAAGAAAGGAATTCCCTGTAGCGGACAAACCATGGTTCAGTACTTACTATTTTAGATAATTAAGTAAAAGATTGCATACTGGTAAACCATTCATTATGCCAGATATCGAATAGATATCAGATGAGCGGTCAATATCTAAACCTGAGCGAGGGCAACGATACTGGTCGCAAGATGGTTAATGCGGCACCTCTGTTCCAAAGTTACTTCATCTGCACTCTGCACCTCCAAAACTTTTAAAGTTAAAACCAAAATTTCGTAGTCGTCTGCTCAGAATTAGGAAAACATCACACAGTTTTGTGCCAAAATGGCTCGCCCTGGACAAGAACCCATTCACTAGTTCTAATAATAATTTTCCCCTGTATGTAAGAAAATTGGCAACTAAAATCTAACCTTCAGCATGACGATGTCAAATAACGTCTCGTTGTCATGTGCCGAGACGTAATTCACCTGGACAGACGAGCATAAACAAAAGCACGTCAAAAGTAGAATATTAGATAAAACGCTGTAGGATTATACTGTTGCAACATGACCATTCAGGATACCATCGTCAACGTCTTTCAAGGCAACCTGTAGGATTCAAATTTTATCGATTTCTATGAGGAAAACAAAACAAAACAGAAATAAAGGGGTCACACACCAACTCTTCTGGACTGGAAGCATACGCCACTGGTTTACCGTCATGAGTGAGAACCTCATCTCCTTTCACCTGCGCAAGTTGGGTTTTTAGAATACTGAGATGTCCAAGATGAAGTAAAATAAAATGAAATCATAATAGATTTCGTAAGCTCAAACAAACTCCAAGAAACTCTAATCGAAGAGTACTCAGTGCTTGAGGTTTCCGTAGTTACTTCGAAGTATAGTTGTACGGGCACAGTCAAAGACAAAGTTCTTGAGTAGAAGAAAGGAATTTCCTGCTGATCAAGCATACCTCATTTCCCTTGTAGGAGACAAATGAGTAGTCTTTCAAATTGGCAGCAATTCCTAGCTGTTAAATTAAACAAAATTTCGATATTCATTAGTTGACACAGTGTGACAAAAGAAAAGTATGTAACCGCCATTACATCATATCATCTTTGCTGTGAAGGTACTACAATGGGTCTATCCGAATGTGTGCAAGTAATACAAGGGCACCACGGCTTTTACCATCACCCAGTCCGTTGTTGCTGCAAGAGCATTGTGCATGGCGTCTTCACCGCCCTGGAACAAAGAGTTGGGCTGCAAACACAGGTGCGTGTAAAGTCAAACCCAGGAGATCCATATTTCTCTGCCATGTATGCATGGTTCAAATGAAAAATTTACTGTAAAATAAAAGAAATCTGATTTCCATCACAAAGATGCAAAATATGGATTTAACTGGAAATTCAAGTTTTAATGAAGACAAATTAATGCACACCATAAAATCATATAGGCTTTCGTTCAGTATCCTAGATGGGCCTTCGGTAATATAATCGTTGTTGACAGCACTACCTAGAATTTACACGACTCATCTCTAGGAAGTGTGTTACCTGGAGAGCAAGGCCGGTGACCAGACCCTGTTGCAAGGGATCTCCAAATGGAGATCCACCGAGACAAGTGTCGCGTATGCGATCATTGAAGCTGCGCCCAAACCAATAGATTTTAGAGGACATATTACTACGTTTGTATCAAAGCAACAGTATCGTCTATCAGTGCAAGCAAGCCAACCTGCCAATGCCTGTCCCAGCTAAATTCTGTTGAACGGCGTTTACACCGCGTGCATTATTGGCCACTTCGCCAAAATCCCATCCTTCTCCATAACTGCACAATTAGAAACAGAATAAGCTTGCAGTGTTAAGTGTTGCTACTTTATATTTTAATGATCACGTTCCAAACTAACTAGCGGGAATCAGGAATGCAAAATGGTGACATGGCGAAAGTATGCAAGAACTCACATATAGATCTTTGAACCGTCCACACCATCCTTTTGGAGTGTCAATCTTCTGAGTACCTCTTTTGCTCTTACCTGCAACGTAAAGTCTCAGTAACTGACCGAGTGAAGCACGAAAGAAAATATCGCTTGAAAGCTCGACTTAATCAGCCATGATCAATTAAATAAACGGATTACGGACCTCTAGTAATTCCAAATTTTCTACAAAGGACGAATATGAATAGAGAGCTTACCATCGTATGCTTCATTAAGTGCCCCATAAGATCAAAGCGGAAGCCATCCACCTGAACAGACATGTCAAATAAGATTCAGATACAGTTCAAATTCAGGAGAGGTTAACTGCTCAACACAGCTCAAATACGCCATAAATAGTATTTCAGCTAACAAAGACTTGGGAAGTAAATCGTCAAAGCAAGTTTTCTGCACAAGCTATCTAAAGCAAAGGAATGATTGAAAACCTTGTAGTTCACTGCCCAATGCTTAAGGTCGTCGACAATAAGTCGGTCCACCATGTAATGTTCACAGGCTGTGTTGTTCATGCAGGTACTGTTCTCTACATATCCGTCCTTGTTCAGCCGAAGGTAATAATGTGGTACTACCTGTTGGTCAATAGACGCGGGAAAAAGTGTGTAATGCGAAAGGTTAAAAACATCGGACATTCCATAAGTATAGCTGGTTTGAGACCTATGGATATGCAATAGAATGTTCTGTAACTCGACATTATCTAAACTTTTGGTAGTATCCACATTACCTTATCCAAACACGAGTGATGGCCCGAAGGGCCGCTGCCATGAAGATGGTTATAGACGACGTCCAGGATAACACGTAATCCCGACCTGTTGAGGGCCTGGAGACAGGGCTCGACCGGTTAGGATCATGCAGCAGTAACTAGGGGAATAAAAGACGACATTTTAAGCAACCAGTTCTGCCTCACCTGCACCATAGTCCGAAACTCCACTGTACGGGCCGGACCATTAGGATCAGTTGCGTAACTGCCTTCTGGCACACCCCAATATATTGGATCGTATCTGCACAGCACGCCTCAGTATTACTTGAATTGCATTCGAAGGACACGATATTGATGCAGCATTTCTGAAAGAAAGACGTTTCGTAATAAAGTAAATCTAGAATGATACAAAAGGTGCAAAAGACCACGCTCTACTTGTATTGAAGAGAGTACAGATGCACAAAAGGTTCAGAGCTAAATGACACAGATAAACAATTAAAAGTTGCAAATCAGCTTACCCCCAGTTGAAGGCATCTTGGTCCTGAATTGCCACAATGGCTTTTTGTTGCTCCTCTGAATTGGGTGCATACATAGACAGTTTATCCTCATCTAAAAGGACGAAACAATTCAAACCCAGGCATTTAGAAGGAAAGTTTCGATCTAGAAGTTTATTCTCATGCCTAACAAATTTGAATAAATTAGGCGTCTGCAGTAGAGTCAACTCTGTGTAGCATCATTGAAAATTGAAGATAACAAGAACAAGCCTGGAACTTACCGACAGTTTTCCACGTCTCTTTTCTTTCGTCGACACTTGAAAAGTCAAAGGAGGGGAGGAGGTGAACATGCGTGAGACCAGCTTCAGCCAGCTTCTTCAAATGAGTTACTCCTGCAGAATCCTGAGCAAGTGAAAATTGTCAAAAATTGCAGTCGATGACGAAGAGATAAGGAAACACATGAACTTCAATCAACAATTTATTCTCCTGAATTCAATTCAATATTGACATCAAGGAGGGTTAATATCTTAGAAAGATGATAAACGTCAAATGACATAACAATTTCATCAAGTTCAATTCGTACCTTCTGTGCAAATGCCAAGTATCCTCCCGCCACTGCTGGATCAACGGTCTTATCTGATATGCTGGGAGGAAAAAAGATAAACTTTAAAAGTGGTTGCTGGATAAGTGCTTCATGCAAAGAATAAACGTTTCCGACAGAAAAAACATGAATTTCTAAATCCACAAGTGAATTTCGATTCACGAGGATATGCTTCTGTGAAAATGACATACCTGAAATCTCTGATGTGAAGCTCATAAATGGCCATGTCGTTGAATGATTCAAGATGAGGCTTCTCGTTGCCAAGGTTTGTCCAACCTTCGGGAGCAAGATGTGCATCCGCCATGTCTATAATAAGAGACTTCTCTCCATTGACAGAAAGGCTGCTTGTACCAACCCCGGCGCAAATCGTTAAGGAATATCACCACTGTGATAAAATTACAAAAACTAATAGTCAACAGAAGTATAGTTGTCGAGAGGAGCGTGGCGTTTATGTCCTTACCCACGAGAATAGGGATCGTTTGCCAGAGAAACTTCAACTACTCGAGATGCTGGATGGTAAACTGTAACCTCATAGAGGTAGTATTTGCCCTTCCAAGAGATTGGTCCAAAAGTCGACCACACACCGTTGCTTTCGTGGAGCTGCAGTTTCTCTTCAGGCTCTCCACCTGTTGGTGTAGAATACAAAAACAAACGCACATTCTACATACATAATAATCAGCTTGAACTGCATTGAGTAGAATGCCAAATTCTGTCTGTCTAAAGACTATCATAATTGATCATCTCTATTAAGTAAAAAATTGCCTGTTGGCAGTAGAAAGCAAAAGAGAGGAGGGAATTCCTCCAACAAAGGTGAAATGTGCTATTGATGTGCCATTATAAAATTCAATTAGTTTGTGACATTTGAACAGTAGCTGTGACCGTTCGAAAAGTACCTGCTGATCCTGTGTTCAAGTTCAAAACTTCAGAAGCATCCATACAACAAGCACTTTCACAGTTGTTTGAAAAAAGCAAGAATATGAATAAGACAATACCTGTGCTGTAGGTGCCCAAAGGTTGATTGAAACACCATCTTTTATTGCATTCGCGCCAAGAGGGCCGTCGTAGGCAAACAAATCATCCAAAACACCTCCCACTTGGATACCCGTAGCATCTGTAGCTTGTCCTTGTTCTGTTCAGGACAAGCCCATGACGCCCTTTAGTTGAAGGTGACAGAGTGAAGAGCAGCGGCCATGAGAATATTCACTCTAACAAGAAAACGAGCTCGGGGTACTCACCATCAGTAGCTGACAAGGCTAACTGAGTCTTCAATATTTTCTTGACATCTACATCGGTAGGAATCCGCAGAGCGCGATAACCTGAGATGTGAGGAAACTTGTCCAACACCTGGCAGGACAGATTTTTGTTATACCTCCATCGCATCAAAGTTCAGCTGGAGTCCAACCTTAGACAAGGTTGATTTGAATACTACATTACATTTGTAAGATGTAAAAGCAAACTGCTGTGCATAGTAAGTAAAGGATTGCAAACGAGATTCACAATTTTGTGCTGATTTGCTACCTTCGGGGGTAAACCATTCGGATCTTCTGCCAGCTTTACGACAACGTCCGCACCTGTCAACGAAAACCGCACAATATCAGATCCAAAATATTATTAGAGACTAAATTTTCTCTTGGATACTGAGTTAAATGGATAGATAGCAACACATTTACAGAAAGCACAAAGAGTTTTATCAACTTGCCAAGAGTGCAAAATTGGGAGCAATCCCTACCTTCTACACCATTTGCAGTGACTTTTAGACTAGCAGCATTGCTGGAATGTAGGAAAAACTTGTCGTTTTCATTACTGGCGTTCCAAGCAAGCAAATCCTCCTTAATCCAGAACGCTCGTGATTTGCTAAGGTCACCCTGTCAATTTCACCTTGGTTACATAAAAAGCTAAAATTACACGTGGAACATCTACTCTATTGGAATTAGTGTTTATGAAGATTATTGATCCTTGGAAAGAATAGTCGCAACAGGCAAGAGACAAGGTTCATCATCCTATACATTCATTGACAAAAATAACGTAATCAGACATAAGAGGGCACGCAGATATTTAACCAATATCGAGGACAAGCTCGCTACTGTATCTTTAAGTTGCTGACCACACTGCGTAAACTTAATCTATTGTAATAGAAATCTACGACATAACCTCCAACATCAGTTTATGATTGTAGACGAACCTGGGGAAGACATTTGGGATCAGGCTTTTGTGAAAAAACTGTCGGTCTCCCTGAAACTAGCCATACCTCGATGTCCTTTCCAGACGAGATGGTCCCCTCACAGTCCTGCAACCACATTTGATGGTATACAAGTCAAGGTAAGTACTTGGGTTCTTTTGCAACATAAACTTAGGGTTTGCGAACTTGGGATTAATTCCCAAACCGAATATCAGTGTCACTATCTACTTGTGGAAAGAAACTAACACAAAAAAAGGGTTGGGACCCCGGATCAGTGTTTGATCAGGAGAGGCGTAACCCGAGGAAGCCCTAACGAATACCTTACTGTCCCCTTGATGCACAACAAAATGAACTTCACCGTCCATGGCATCCACCTCCCAATAGATTCCAAATTCGTCCGAACCAGCGGGAGCTAAAGGGCTATTCCATTCAGTTGGCGATGCGATGCGACCCCAAATGTGCAAACCCCAGTGATCGTAGACCCCATTCTTCCTAAAAAATTTACAAAGAAATGCAGATTATGACACACTCACAGAATGCAGGACTGACTGACTAGAGAAAATCCTCGCTAAGCGATCAGGTGCAGAAGAAAACTTCCAAAGACCCTTGGCAGCGAAGAATACATTTCAGAATCGGCTTATTTTAGGTCTACAAATATGCGTATGTTTACACACATGACGTAATACCAAAGAACATTTAGCTGAGTTGTGCAGCAGAGAAGCATGACAAGGTTGATAAACCAGACGTATACCTGTAATAATGAATTTTGTAGCGCACGGTCTTATCCGCATTGTCCGCCATCTTCTCAGTTAATTGCACTGAAATGCTCGATGTCAAGTTTCTGGGACGTGGGGAAGGACGCACGACCTCACTGCTGAACAGAGCTGCACTTCGAGATGCCCTCCACGGGGAACTCAATGTGGCCGAGGGATCCTGTTTTAGTTTGCTTTTACTCGTGCTCCATATAATTTTAGACTCTTTAGAGTGAAGGCTTGCGTTGCGCGATGAGGCGCACAGTGCAGGAATTAAATGCAGCGCAGGCGATGATGATGCAACAGGTGTCACCATTGTCTCAGACTTTAAAATTCCAGAATCAATTTGTGGGAAAGATACACCGAGAATTGACACAAGATTTCTGGGTGTACAGGTTGTGCCAGCTGCAAAAAGGAAGCCATAGACAATTTCAGTATCTACAATGTGGCGTTACAGGTACGTGAGATTCCGCAACACTCACAAGCAGAGAATCAAAAACAGAGCCAACAGCGAAATGAGTAATCCACCAACAAATCAATCCATTCTTCCTTCGATTTGCAAATTGCTGTTCTTCACACGAAGACCACAGCCCAAATCAGGCGAAATCGAAACAAGTCCGTGATTCAGATTCTTGAGTGCACCACCCTGCAGCTTTGCCTGCAAGGACGCAACGACACTAAAATCAACGACCGGAGATGAGAACCCAGCAGGGTCGATGGAACCCAGAGGTTGATATTTCCAAAAGGTAGAACTAAATGCTCGTAACCACACACTGGCCCGCTTCTCGTGCGCGCAACGAAACAACACGACGAAGGAGAAGAGGAATCTTGCACATATGGGAGAAACGGGAGCACCCACTGCGATATGTGCACTCCTCGCTGATTCAAAGCTCACAAATGTATGTGAGATTCATCAAGTGGGCGTTGCCCGGATCGGCTGGCGGATGAAAACAAATCTCTGCGTCGGAAATGTGCCTCCATAGCGCCGACCGGCGTCCATTAGATCTACTGGGGCATGGGCTCCCTGTGCAAACGGATGGATCACAAGCTTCGGCAACGCTGATGCCAGGAAAGATGCGAAGAAGACCCACATCGCAATTCCACCCTCGGAATGTCAGATCGTGACAAATCTGTGGACAGTTTCGGCCCACCAAGTGGCAATTCCTCGGAGCCTCACACGAGGTGCGCCTCACACTTGGCACAGATCCATGCCTCGCAATTCGCTCGGCCGATGCATTTCGATCCTTCGCGCTTCGGAGCGAGCTCCGATGCCCAAAATTTCTATCTCCGGGTTGCACGCAATAGTTTTTGTTTATCTTTTTTTTTTTAACTTTTTTTTTTTTTTTTTTTTTTTGCTTTTAAGGGTTTGTCGATGAATTGTCTTTTGGGTGGAGAGTCATCCTCCCTCTCGTTATGCGATGAGTTACTTTCTTTGTTGTCTTGACCTGACGTGCATTTGTTCTTTTCACAACATTATGAGATGACTTTATACATTTGTTGATGGAGAATAGTTAAAACGACCATCTATAGAAGTAATAATATATGATAATAAAAAAAAATGCCCATAGAGTGGAAGTGGATATTATTTTCACATTAATGGAGATGTATGTATGTATGTATAATTGGAATAAAAATACATTAAGATGTTCTTGATAAAATTATTTTAAAGTTGTTTCAGACTTTTCCCACTAAAGAAGTATTTAAATGTGGTTGTATGATAAAAACTAAAAAAAATATGTTGAATGAAAGGTGGATTGTGGTGGCGATGGTCAAAATTATGAAGGCATTTGGTAGATGGAGGAGTGTGGTCACAATAGCAAAAACTATGCTAACATCAATAATACCCATATTTAATATGGAATATATTTTGTTATATTTTGAATCTTATACTTGATTGGTTTTGTAAAAGAATCTTAAAATTATTATGTTTTTATAATATATATTTTCTTAAAAAATATTTTTAAAAAGTCTATAGAATAATTATGGTATTTCTATTATTTTTTTATTAATTAAAAAGAATGATAAATTAATAAAATACAAGTGCTTTTCATTTTATTGGATTGATTCTTTACCAAGCAAAATATATTATAATTTAGCCAAAGATTTCAAATACTATATACATTATCTTAATTAAAATACGAACCTATTAACAAATATAAACACTTTTCATCCTCTATCTTACATTTAGAGCATTATATAAGAAAGTCTTTAAATTTGCTATAAGACATTACATTTTTTTTTAAATATTATCTTTAATCATCAAAAATACACCTTATTAATTAAAATTCGCAAAGAAACTAAAAAAAAAAAGTTTGTAACAAAATAATTATATTTGAGATGAAAAAAAATATTCTATTACACTTTATATGATAAAAAATATAAAGAACATAATGAACAGATTAATAGTGTGGCATAACATAGAGCCAAAATTTGTTTCATTGTTAAAAATATAATCAATGTGAACAAAATATCTCCAATAAACTTTCATAATCTAAAATCATATCAATTGATTTAAAATAATAATGATAATGATGTTCATACAAATAATTCAATCTTAATAAATACTTAGAAAATTATCATTTATTTTGAAAGAAATATGAGTTCCTTCAAAAATCTTAACTATTCACTTACATACATTTGCATTGCTAAACAATACATCTATTTCAATAGCATTCAATTATGGGCCAATATCATCAAACATATGCTTATATATATACTAGATGAATCCATGTCACCTGTGACTCAAATGAAGCTATTTTTGTGAGCCAAAGAATACAATACAATATAAATAGAAAGAAAAAAATTACAGGATGGAGCTTTTATATATGAAGTAGGATAAATAAATCCATGTTATTATCACAAATAATAACTATAAATGTAACTATAAAAACTATAAAAAAAATGAATTATTTTTAAAAAAATCTTGAAAATAAAAAATATATAAAAAAATAAAAATAAAAATAAAAATAATAAAACTAAAAATTATAAAAAATAATTAATAAAATTTAATAAAATAATAATAATAATAAATAATAATAAAATAAGATATTATTTTAGAATAATAAAATTATAATAAAATAAAATATTCTCTTAAAAATAAATATTTTAAATACTAAAAATTATAAATATTAAAATCTTAAAATTATAAAATATGATAAATAATAAATAGTTTTTGAAAATAATAAAATTCAAAAATCCAATTTTATGCACACAACTTTAGTCCAATCCACATTATACCAATCTAACAACAAATCCAAACATAAAAAAATAAAATAAAATAAAAATAACAAACAAACAAACAAATAGACAAAGTAAAAAAACTAAACAAAAACCCAAAAACAAAGCACTATATCATAAACCCAATAAAATACACAATAGAACTTTAAGGTATGAAGTAGGATAAGTAAACCCGTGCCATTGTCATAGATAATATATAAAAAAAGTAATTAATTTTTTTTAAAGAACTACTTGTGAAAATATAAAAAAAATATTAAATTATAAAATATTAAATCATAAAAGTATGTTAGGACAATCAAAGCTGTATTAAAGTCAATAAATTAATAAATTAAAATATAAAATATAAAAAATAAATCACTAATATTTATGTAATTAAAACTTCTAAAAAAAAATATTCACTGTGGAATTTAAATTATCATTTCTAGAAAGAAGAATCTTGATAGAATGGGAGGAAGTGCATTGAAATAGTGCTATATAAAGTTCACCATGGAAAAAAATTTACAACAGATGGAAAATTGCTTTCTCTTTAGAATAATTGGAAGTTCTTTTGTTGTAGAAGTTAGTGTAATCCATGGAATAAATACCAAGTTTCCAGCAAATTTTCTTCTAAGAATTCTTACTTCAAGAACTCAATCCATTATTTGTGTAATTATCAATCGAGTTCCATTGCAAAGTCCTTGGCAAGGAGCAATATTTCTTAGTAGCATCACCAGAGTCTCAATCTTAAGACAAAGCCTTGATTGAGGCATTCCAGATGGATTAAGCAACTTGATGAATTTGACTGAATAAATATTATTATTATCGATACCATCTTCAACAACTTCATTAGCGCTTAGATATTCTTATTATTTTTTAGGAAATATAGCCATAAACTTCTCATTAATATCCTCTATATCATCATTCCGTTCAAATATAATGATTATATTTCTAAATAATGTATCATTTACCAGACTAGCTTTTGCCAGCCTTGGATAAACAACATCCACCAAGGATATTAATTGTTGATCAACAATCATGTGATTAAAAAACTTAACTACATGATCAAGCAATAATTTTGTACCATTTCCAATCTAGCAAGTAACAAATAGAAATATTAGTTAATAATAATGCAATCATAAAGAATTTAAATGCACTACCATCTATATATATAACACTGTCGGGGTAGAGAGAATTTGCCTCAAGAAAGCATTGGGTTCTTGGTTGTTACTAATTACTCAAACAAATCTTGTGATAAGAAAGACTGAGTTTATATATAAAGTTTTCTTTTTTCAGCAATTACACCAAATACATAAGCCTCAAGTAACCAATAATACCCAAAATATGATGAAATCCTCTAAAACCTTGTATATCCTTATGTAGAAATTTTTCCAAACTTCAACACATCATATCTCCTAATCCGACTATCAAACAAATTCAAATTTAACATGAGATATTAATGTATTCTTATTAACTTTTACAATAAATTTCAATAACAAATTCATTGCAGAACTTAAAATATCACCAAAATCCTAACAATAGCTTCAAACCCTAATTTTTATACACTCATGTGCAATTTTCTTCATATCTCACAAAATATATATTCAAATGCCATGAAGTTTGTATGTATAGCTTTTTAACACAAAATATTACATTCTCCAAAAAAATTGAGCCAAAAATTTGTCCAAAAACTCAAGTTATGGCTCCAACTATTACTATAAACAAAACCGCTCACTTATTGCCTTTGATTTGGAAGCACTACCTTCAACTCCCTATAACTCCTTTACATGAACTCCAAAAGCAACAATTTTTTTATGAAAGATGTAAACCTTAAAATCACTATTTTAGCCATAGTTTCTGATCTTCAAAAGCCCCATGTTGTAAAACTCCTCGTATTCTCAAAAGAATAAATATGTCTTAAATTAACACTTTAACTTCAAATGACTATATCTTCTTCACCATAACTCCAAATCCTCTAATTTTTGCATACAAAGTATAGCTCAAACCCTAAACTTTACAACCTTAGCTTCTAATTCCTAAATGTCTTCCTTGAAGTAGCTGAAATCCTTATTAAGATCGCGAGCAGCCTCCTCAAAGTCCATGGACATGGCATTCGACCAATAGAGATGAAGTTCTCTATTCTTTGCCTTCATCTCACCATGCCTTGCTTTCATCGCTCTCAATTAGCCTCCTATTAGTTTAAATTTTTATCCTTAGGCTTCCACCTTCTTTCAAGGCTTCATACTAAATATTTAGGTCTTATATTTTTTTTAATACCAAAATCAAAATAAGTAAAAAAAAAAAGTAAAGAATCTTATATAAAATCTTTTTAATTTAATCTACTAACCACTTTAATATATATCTAGATTTATTAACATATAATATTTTTTAATTAATTTTTATATATTATAAGTATTTATAATATAACAACCTGTGTGTGCATTCTATACATGAAGAAGCCAATTAGCAAATTCAATATCTACTTGAAGTGCTTCTAAATTCAACCTCATATTCTCTTTTAATGTATGGATTTTTATTTGAGGCCAAAGTATTGAACATTAAAAAGATGCTATTATAATTTTTTCTCGAGTTCTTTTCATAATCACTGGCAATATTTGACAAAAATCTCTACCAAAAACTATTATAGCTCTTCCAACTGGACGATCAATATCTCGAATGTCTCTAAAAGAATGATCAACTCTCTTAGGATAATAACAATGTTGTATTAGAAGTTCATCTTAAATAATAAAGGAAGTTTGGTGAAGAAACTTAGCATGGTCAAAATTCTTAGTAATTGAATAAAAAGAGTCTTTGTTATAATCTAGTAGAATCTTGAATGTAGA